TAAAGGATAAAACCTTAGAAGAGTGTTTTATTTTTTAACTTATGAATTGTCTAAAAGCAAGAAATATAAGAAGAAAATAAGGAAACATAGAGGTTCCTCTGTGAAAAATGATTCTGTGCCGCGGTATTAAAGGAATTCGATCAAAGCGTGCGAGAGAAAACACACGTGCAGAATGGATATAATTGAAGTCATAACATGAAAAATTGAACAACCTTTTCTCACCTGCCAGGACGGCTAAGTGAAAAAAACCCGAAGGTTACAAAACCTAACACGATATGTGAGATTGCAGGCTCCACTCACGTAAATGAATTTTCCTGTAAAATATTTGACATTTTACCAATCAAAAATCAACATTATATTCACATCAAAAGGCTATTTTATTATAACTTAAATTGTAGAACCAATTGGTAAGCAAGGATAACTTGAGTTGTGACAATATGATTAAACCATGTGACTATGTGTCAACCCCGCGACAAGTGCTATGGTGGATATGTACATGTCAGGTCTCGGCATATCTTGCATAGGTAACAAATATTAAAAAAGTATCGTGACAAATGAAGGGAATGCATTTGCTGTAAAAATGGAATACTTTTTGTTACCCCCAAGCAATAATGCTAGCTTTTGACAATACTTGAGATTTATTTGTACCTTCTTTCTCAATGTAATTTATGACATTAAAGGCCAACTCTTGAGGTTGAGAATGTATGATTTGGCCAAAAGAGTTAGATTACTGTAAAAGTCCAGTTTCCACTCTTGCCAAACTAGGCTGGTATTATGGAGTTATATGTTGGCTGTACTAACGAGTCTACATGGTCCAATCCAAATCGAGGAACGAAATCAACATTGGGTTCACAAACAACATGGCGACTGCCGTCCATTTCGGTCGATTGCAGGATTTGCAGGGCATGTGTACAGTCAACCTGGCGTCAACAGATGTTTTCCAAATCTTATAATCTTCTTATTTAAGCTGCTCAAGTGATATGACTAACTTCGCAAGGTAAAACCCATTTTATTACAATAAAGGTCTTGATTATCAATCAGATCGTCTAAACTGGGCGTCGCCATGTTGTTTGAAGTAATGCAAGTGCTAGGATAGGAGGGACAGAACTCGGAACTCCCACTGGTGGCGCCACGATTGAGCCATGAAATCCCAGCCTATTTTGAGAACGGTTAGACTAACATATAGTCTCTGAAATGAACATATCTTACCGAAAAAAACAGTTGTTAAATAAAATTAATAAAAATATAATAAAAAGGAGCCCAGAGACTCTCTTTATTTTCAGATACTGCAGTAATCTAGCCAAACATTATAGACTTGCATTGGCTGTATCGGATAATTTTATCAGGGTCTGTATGACAGACTAGGTAAGGGTGGAAACAGGACATTTATAGTCAGTTAACTCCCTTGCCTCTGGAAGATGTGCTTTCCTGGCTTTGATATTCTATTTGTTTGTAATTTACTTCTATTGTCTTGGAATCTTGACATGTTGGTATCTTCATGGAAACAAATATACTTTTTGTCTAAAATGTACTGAACACCCATCGAGGCTGTTGCTTACCAGTTACACTCCGGGTGAGCTGAAAGTTCTTTTGTTGTGAAATCTTGCGCCATCAATTAAATATAAATTGTCAATGCAAGAGAGTAACCAGTCTAGATTATCCGCCGAAACAGATTCCATTTGGCGTAAGGGCAAAAAAGCTTTGAAAATTATATGAATGGACCACTGAAAATCAGTGATGACACCAGGTGTTCCCCCAAAAGGGTAAACGTGTCTTGCATGAAAAGAGTGACTTTCACGAAATGGTTTGAAAGATTTTTATATTCCTTTCTTGTGTAAAGTGTTCTGATTGATGAGAGGGCCGTATTGCAACAATAATATGTTCGGTTTACTATAATCAATTAATTATTTCAACTCATTGTGATCGAAGATAGTTTATGCCCCCGACATCTACAATGAATAAAGCTAGGTTAAAACAAAAAAAGGTTTTCATTCTGATCAGTTTATGTTAGTTTTGCAGACCACTTTAGAAACCTATTTTAACTGCACATTGTCTTTCAACTGAGACTCATGAAGTATACGAAGATATGAGGAATACACACACTTCCTTTGCTTCATGGCGCAGTTAGCTACAGTAATGTTCCCCGATCAATTTATTCTGATGTTGCGTGAGTTTACCTTGCTACGAAATTGTTCGAAGTTGAAAATCCCTTCAAGTTTTAATGAGGTATTTTAAGAATTTCCTTTTCGAATGTTCAGAATTTCTAAACGTGACATAACACTTTCCGTCAAATGGTCGGATGCATCATTTAGATATTTTGATAAGAACATTTATATCTGTAGTTTTTATATCTGACGAACGGCCAACCTCTCATTCTGCAGAAGGTATATTAGACTATGACAGCATGTCAGTCTGTAGTAAGTAACTATCAATCAGTACAGAATGCTCCCAGAAATGAATATACATATTGCAGGGTGTTGTCAGATGTCTATGTACATACTACAAATTGATATAATATCTGATATAAATTGTTAGATAGTCGGATAGACACGCTACATACTAGATTTTCAGAGAGCCAAGAAAACACACTGCAGAATAATATGTCGCTAGATTGAAACTACATGTACAAGATAACTATTGAAATGCCGTCATTGTTTGATACACATACTACAGAATGAGAGGTTGTTATAGCCTGATATACACACGACATATTGAGATGTTGCTATGGTCTGATAATCTTACTGAGATGTTGCTAAAGTTGTAGTCAGAGATACATGCACAATATTAAAAGGTTGTTGAGGTCTGATGTGCACACTACAGACTGAGATGTTGCGGTATGATATGTACACTACATACTGAGATGTTTTTGTCGCTATACACACTATAGATTGAGATGTTATAGTCTGCTATACACACTATAGATTGAGATGATGTGGTATGATATACACACTACAGATTGAGATGTTGTGGTATGATATACACACTACAGATTGAGATGTTATAGTATGATATACACACTACAGCTTGAGATGTTATAGTATGATATACACACTACAGATTGAAATGTTAAAGTCTGCTATACGCAGTATAGATTGAGATGTTGTGGTATGATATACACACTACAGATTGAGATGTTATTGTATGATATACACACTACAGATTGAGATGTTATAGCATGATATGCACACTATAGATTGATACATTATTGTCTGATATACACACTACAGATTGAGATGTTATAGTATGATATACACACTACATATTGAGATGTTACAGTATGATATACACACTACAGATTGAGATATTATAGTATGATATACACACTACAGATTGAGATGTTATAGTATGATATACACACTACAGATTCAGATGTTATTGTCTGATATACACACTACAGATTCAGATGTTATAGTATGATATACACACTACAGATTGAGATGTTATAGTATGATATACGCACTACATATTGAGATGTTATAGTATGATATACACACAATAGATTGATACATTATTATCTGATATACACACTACAGATTGAGATGTTATAGTCTGATATACACACTATAGATTGAGATATTATAGTCTGATATACATACTACATTTAAGATTGTATTTCTTACATATCGATTATCATACCCCAAAACTTAGTGTCTTTGATAAAAGATACACAACAAATTAGAGAAGAATTACATTTGCAGTATTCACATTTAAAATATAGGTAGTGTGTATGCCAAATATGTAATGACTTAAGTAGGGTGTGTTGCACATAGGTACATGCGCGGTGTACAATTCCTCTTGCTCACTCGACAGCAACTGTGAGCCATGTTTTAAACATGCTATATTGATCTCTGACTTTAGTCTTCAAGACGAGGAACGTGAAACGTCACGCGGTGTATCAAAAACAACTGCTTCAACGCAGACGTCGGTCAACCTGGTCGTACTCTCTGAACAGTCGTCTTGTATTCGTTATTTATTTGGTGGCAGTCTCAGGACTTTGGTGTCAATAGTCGTCTAACCAGTCAGTCGATCCTGTACTCCTCAAGATGATGCCGTTGTTTTCAAGTAACTGTTGCAGTCTGCAGATGGCATTAACAACAATTGTATACTTGATGTTTGGGCTTTCCACATGCAGCGCCAAGAAATGTGGACTTAAAAAAAACAGACAAAATGAGGTACAGTTCTGTCATTATCAGGAACAGTGGCATGAAGTTGTGCCAAGTTAAATGTGTTGAAAACTGCTTCAGTTCCAATTTCAAATACATTAATGAAACGTTGGAGTGTGCTCCAGCACGTGATGAACCAAAGAAGAACGAGAAGACGGGCGGAGTGAGTGTTCATCCCAAGAAGTTTCCAGATGTAAGTTATGTGAATCTGTTGCGGCAGCAAATAGACACTGAATATTCTCTGGCGTTGATGTTGTATATCAAGTAGATGTGTGTATATATTTTTCGGAGAATTAAACGTATAAAGAATCTCACCCGAGTGTCTTTTGATATCAAATATATCAATACGAATTGCTAAAGTGGAAGAACACTGATGCTTGCCGAGGAGTTTTTCCACTTTTATCAACGAGTGTTGATATTTTTTATATATAAAAAACACGAGGGTGAGATTTTATTTATCATCCAACATCATTATTCAAACTTTTTTCAGTTTGTGGACAGTAATAAGCAGTGTGTTAAGAGTAAAAAGTACTGCTAACACATTCAGTAGCAGAGCCATTAGTGATGCCATTTGATTATGACGTCGTGGTAACCAGTGACCAAAAATGGTCTGCAAAGCATTGTGATGCAATTTAATTGCAGCGATATTTACAATGTAGATATCCTTTGATCTCACCCACGCCATATCTTCTGTGGGAGCTAGTTTGGGTTGATAAACCTAGATGCCAATGCCAAAAAAAATAACCAGTCTAGATTATTCGCCTAAACAGAATACACTTTGGCGTGAAGGTCAAAATTGCTGTGAAAATTATATGAATGGACCACTGAAAATCAGCGATGACAACAGGTGTTAGCGACAAAGGTAAGCTTGGCATGCCCTGCCGGTAGCACCCGCCATTCACACAATTACACAATCACATATACCACATTGAATGTTACTTAAACGTACAGAAGCAAGTACTCTGAGTTCCAACAAAGTCAGTGAGATTATAGGTTATCTGTAACATTTATCTTTTAACAAAAGCTGTAAGGACGTCCAAAACACACGTGTGCTTCCTCGTGAAGATCCGGGGTAGAATAGATCTTCAGCAACCCATGCTTGCTGTAAGATGCGACTAACGGGAGCGGGTGGTCAGGCTGGCTGACTTGGTTGATGCATGGCATCGTATCCGAGTTGCGTGCATCGATGCCCATGATATCAATCAGTGGATTGTCTGGTCCAGAATCAATTATTTACAGACCGCCGTCATATAGCTGTACTATTGCTGAGTGCGTCGTTAAACAACAAACAAACAAACAAACACAGGTGTGATATGACTTCCATTCATTCACTATAAAGGTAAATATGCGAGCAGGATATAATAATAATAAATTTACAAGTAATCCCTTAATGATTAACTTAACACTTTAATGATTAAGTGGCTATAAGTCTACAATATGCAAGGAGTACAAAAGACTGACGAGTAAACCAAGAAGAATTCATGGCTATTCCAGGAGGAATGATATAGCATTTTTGGCATACGGTACAAGTTTTCAATATTTCGACCCGTACTGTCAATATTGATAGAAATTTAAAGACATACAACATTCGCTTACAGGGTTCTTTTTTCTGTCTAAAGGTCCCGACTAAACCCTGTGCATCCAAATTCTGCGATGTGACTTCCCGATCTGGATCTGGAAAAGCCGTGTGTGTGAAAGGTAAGTGTTTCATGCAGAGAAGTGCACGGCGTTTAGCTTAATCTTAATAAATGTCATATTTGGGATAACACTTTCTTAGTAAAGTACAGATCCTCGTACTTTTTTGGGGTTGAGTCCCGTCTGGGATTCGAACCTACACTGCCAGAGTGAGGCACCTAATCGCCGGCACACAAAGTCAGCGATCTAACCCACTCAGCCACCGACGCTTCCACAAAAATGAAAGTCCGACAACTGGTAGTCTAGATCACGTGCCAATTTATACTTGTCAGAGGGGTACACAAAGTACGTGATCTAGACTACCAGCTGTCGGACCTTCATTTTTGTGGAAGCCTCGGTGCCTGAGTTGGTTAGATCGCTGACTTTGTGTGCTGGACGGGACTCAACCCCAAAAAGTACGAGAATCTGTACTTTACCAAGAAAGTGTTATCCAAAATATAACATTTGTTACATTTGACCACATTCTAAATGGCATTGTGTGTTCTAAGCTGAATCTTGTATCTATCAGTTTCATCACCTTAGAGCTGGGGTGGAGAATCAAAACTCTGGACATTGGTGTGAGATACCACCTTGTGTACTTCAATTTGTTATCCTTTTAAAACTACTACTAGATTAACAACGTAACAAGCCATTTTGAGAATTAAAACTGTATTTGTGTGAATGTTAGTTTCTACGTACCATGGGAGGGATAGTGTAGGGGACATGCAGGTATTGTAACATATTGTAGCTACGGGATACTTTCTGAAGGCGATGATCTGGCAAACTCCTCTCTTTCTCGCCATTACATGATGTCCTGGTACTTCCATCTTGTACCTTTCACATGGTTTACTGATCTAAGAAAGCACTTAGAAAGATGTGTGAAGATGTTGTCCAGTATGTTGAGAGTAAACCTTGTGTTACAGCAACATCGACTCCACCACCGTGTAAGCCAGGAGCAGACTCAGAACTCTCTGATGCCTGCCATAACGGGGACCTATCAGCAGTGCGACGCATCTTGTCAGAGGGTCGGGCGGACATTAACTGCAGGAAGGTCAATGGCTGGACACCTGTGATGAGGGCATCAGCGACGGGACATAGAGACGTGGTGGATTTACTCATGAGTAAAGGAGCTGATCTGTCAGTCATGGACAGAGCCGCATGCAACATCCTTCACGTGGCCTGTTGGAATGGACAGGTGGAGGTGGTGAAGTTTGTCCTCTCACAGGGCATGGTGAACATCAACTGTAGAGGATGGAAGAAGATGACACCAGTGATGATGACAGCACACTTTGGACGCAGAGAAGTGATGAAGTTACTCGTGGGTGAAGGAGCTGATGTGTCACTCGTGGATTCAAAAGGTGACAACATCCTTCACTTGGCCTGCTTGACCGGTAGAATGAAGGTGGTGAAGTATGTCCTGTCACAGGGCTTGGTGAACATCGATGCTAGAGGATGGAGGAAGCAGACAGCAGTGATGAGGGCAGCATGGAATAGGCATAGAGAAGTGGTGAAGTTATTAGTGAGTAAAGGAGCTGATGTGACACTCGTGGATTCAAAAGGTGAAAACATCCTTCACTTGGCCTGTTGGAAAGGACAGGTGGAGGTGGTGAAGTACATCCTGTCACTGAACATGGTTGACATCAACGCCAGGAACTACAGAGGACGTACAGCAACCTGGATGGCGGTATTCAGGAAGCATGGAAATGTACATGATCTTCTTGTGTCACGTGGCGCTCGAGGCTAGTTCATGAAATGTTTACGCAGACATTGACGTGTTGAACACATCATGTTTAAGTATCTCATGATTAACGTGAGGACATTTCTTCAAGGAAGAAAGAGAAATATAATTTCTTAAATTAGTTTGAATATCTTTGTCATTTGAAATAGTTGCTACTTTGTTCGATGAGGTAGAAAGCTTGTAAATTACATCATATATTATGATTAAAAGAGAAATATAACATCTCCCAATAACATTCTTGTTAATTGTCGGACATAATCATAAGGTCATTGGTGTTAAAAAGAAACTAGAAGTAATTGTTTACACCACAGTTTAGCTCACCTGGTTTGAGGTGCTGATACGCTGGGACACATGAACCCCTGCCACTCGTAGTGAAAAGTGATACATTCGTTCTGTAGCCATAGTTCTCATGTGTAGAAACTGGGCCCATAGTATAGACGCTATCTGACAGTGGACTACAATGTCTGGACGTCCAGTAGGTCATCACTAACGACCACGCTGAGGACGTCATCTGTCAGTCGACTACAATGCCTGGACGTCCGGGAGGTCATCACCTAACGACCACGCTGAGGACGTCATCTGTCAGTAGGCTACAATGCCTGGATGTCCGGGAGGTCATCACCTAACGGCCACGCTGAGGACGTCATCTGTCAGTAGGCTACAATGCCTAGACGTCTGGGAGGTCATTACTAACGACCACGCTGAGGACGCTTTTTGACAGTAGACTACAATGCCTGGACGTCTGGGAGGTCATCCCCTAACGGCCACGCTGAGGACGCTTTTTGACAGTAGTCTACAATGCCTGGACGTCTGGGAGGTCATCACCTAACGGCCACGCTGAGGACGTCATCTGTCAGTAGGCTACAATGCCTAGACGTCCGGGAGGTCATCACTAACGACCACGCTGAGGACGTCATCTGACAGTAGGCTACAATGCCTAGACGTCTGGGAGGTCATCACTAACGACCACGCTGAGGACGTCATCTGACAGTAGACTACGATGCCTGGACGTCCGGGAGGTCATCACCTAACGACCACGCTGAGGACGTCATCTGTCAGTAGGCTACAATGCCTGGACGTCCGGTAGGTCATCACCTAATGACCACGCTGAGGACGTCATCTGTCAGCAGACTACAATGCCTGGACGTCCGGTAGGTCATCACTAACGACCACGCTGAGGACGTCATCTGACAGTAGACTACAATGCCTGGACGTCCGGGAGGTCATCACTAACGGCCACGCTGAGGACGTCATCTGTCAGTAGGCTACAATGCCTGGACGTCCGGGAGGTCATCACTAACGACCACGCTGAGGACGTCATCTGACAGTAGACTACAATGCCTGGACGTCCGGGAGGTCATCACTAACGACCACGCTGAGGACGTCATCTGACAGTAGACTACAATGCCTGGACGTCCGGGAGGTCATCACCTAATGACCACGCTGAGGACGTCATCTGTCAGTAGACTGCAATGCCTGGACGTCCGCCATATGACAAAGGACTACACTGCTGTATCGGCTATACTGTTGTGTCAGCTTCCCATTGTATCGGCTATGCTGTTGCATAAATTATACTGTTGTATCGGCTATATTGTTGTATCGGGGGGCATGGGTGGCCCAGTCGTCGAAGGCGCCGCGATTCGCTGTGCAGAGTTGCATCCCTTGGGCACGCCAGAAACCTATGATTGTGGGTTCGAATCCAGGTTCGCGCCGATTATGTTTCTAGGTTTGTCAGCACCATACCCGTGCTCGTTGGTTTCACCGAAGTGATAAAGGTCTGAGATCTGCATCACTTCGGGCTTTCCTCCCACATAAAACTGACACGCCGCGATATAACTGGGATATTGTAAAATGCGGCGTTAAACCCAACTCAGTCAGTCAAGCAGTGTATCGGCTATACTGTTGTATCGGCTATATTGTTGCATAGATTGTACTGTTATATCGGCTATACTGTTGTATCAGCTTTATTGTTGTGTCGGCTATAATGTTGTATCGGCTATATTGTTGCATAGATTATAATGCTGTATCGGCTATACTGTTGTATCGGCTTTATTGTTGCATAGATTATAATGCTGTATCGGCTATACTGTTGTATCGGCTATATTGTTGTATCGGCTATACTGTTGTATCGGCTATATTGTTGTATCAGCTATATTGTTGTATCGGCTATACTGTTGTATCGGCTATATTGTTGTATCGGCTATATTGTTGTATCGGCTATATTGTTGCATAGATTATACCGCTGTATCGGCTATATTGTTGTATCGGCTATATTGTTGCATAGATTATACTGCTGTATCGGCTAAATTGTTGTATCGGCTATATTGTTGCATAGATTATAATGCTGTATCGGCTATACTGTTGTATCGGCTATATTGTTGTATCGGCTATATTGTTGTATAGATTATACTGCTGTATCGGCTATATTGTTGTATCGGCTATATTGTTGCATAGATTATACTGCTGTATCGGCTATATTGTTGTATCGGCTATATTGTTGCATAGATTATACTGCTGTATCGGCTAAATTGTTGTATCGGCTATATTGTTGCATAGATTATAATGCTGTATCGGCTATACTGTTGTATCGGCTATATTGTTGTATCGGCTATATTGTTGTATAGATTATACTGCTGTATCGGCTATATTGTTGTATCGGCTATATTGTTGCATAGATTATACTGCTGTATCGGCTATATTGTTGTATCGGCTATATTGTTGCATAGATTATACTGCTGTATCGGCTATATTGTTGTATCGGCTATATTGTTGTATCGGCTATATTGTTGCATAGATTATACAGCTGTATCGGCTATATTGTTGCATAGATTATACTGTTGTATCGGCTGTATCTTGTATCAGCTAAAATGTTGCATCAGTTATACAGTAAGTGATATCGGCTATACTGTGGAGATAGATAGTTATTCTTTATTTCCCCCAACTAAATGAAGACATCAATATGCAGAGATAAGAAAGCAACATGTTTAACATGATTTGGGGGTGTATTTAAACATGTTCATAAACATACAGGTTTTTAGCAGGTATCTCCTTATAAAGTGACTTACATTATTAATTGTTACTTCTGCTCACATATCACTTTCTAATTCTGCAATGCATTCTTTTGAACATCCACCAAGTACAAACGCAAGAGTCGCATCATCATTATATTTCTTCCAAACAAACAAAATTATTTACATCTAGAATATCACATATGGTGTTGAAGAATAAATTTCGGTCGTTCATATTGATCGTACAAAACATAAACACCGCTGAGAACGCTAAACTGACAGTAGACGACAATGCCTGGATGTCCTGTCGGTCATCAATCAACGGCCACGCTGAGGACGCTATCTGACAGTGGACTATAATGTCTGGACGTCGGGCCGGTCATCAACCAACGGCCACGCTGAGGACGCTATCTGACAGTGGACTATAATGTCTGGACGTCGGGGCGGTCATCAACCAACGCTGAGGACGCTATATGACATTCTACCAGACACTGATGAATGCTGATGACACTGATGATTCTGATTTGTTAAAAAGAGGTTTCCTTTTTGCTACGGAAACCCCTTTTAAATATATGAAGCCTTTTCACAAAAAAACGTGCGCATGAATACATAGAAAGCCTACATATCGAATCATAAAAAATGGCTGCCGATCGATCATCCCCATATACACTGTAAAACGACTATATTTATTTCCTCTAATACACGCTGGGTCTCTAATACCAGCCAGGTCTCTAATACACGCCGAGTCAAGGGCTCTCGCGAAATTAATAGACGGCGTAGCGTCGAACAGAGGAAATACGGTAGTTTGATATCGGATGTTTGGGGCGTTCTAGGCCGCAACCCTGACTGTTTCGATGATGAAATTTAACGATTTAACGAAGATATATCTTTTGCAGACAAATGAAATGTTTATGAAACTGTTACAGAAATGTTCTATGGTGACCAGAATCGGAACAATTTAAGCTATTTCCTCATTGAAACAACCGACAATGAAAGTAAAATATAACATCATAAAAATTGTTTGAAAAAACTTTATTCATGACAACATGTTGTTTACAAATCTTTGTGTGATCGATATTCGTTGCCATCTCCGTCAACCACCACCGTTAGAATTTGGCAGGAGGGGATTTGAAAGTCCATCAGAAAACACCCCCCTTCGAAAGTCCACGAAAACAATGTCCCAACTGAAGTGACAGCTTATCAAACGTGATGAATTCATTTGAGAACACGCACAATTAAGAAAATTTCTAGGCCACAAATGTCTAAGTTCTGTCACTATCTGGCTTTGGATCCGTGAAATCTTGAAATTGACAGGTCACACCATGCAGATTCCTCGTTTCAAAATATCCGGCTCGTCTGCAGCCTATAAAGCGGCTGTTCAGTCATACTCAGTCACATTGGTAATCATATGGATGTACCAGCGGGCTCGATCAATCCAGGATAATCTACATGTTAGTTTAATGTTGAACCATATCATTGATCGGGGTTGTCATCTTGCTTCATTCTATAACTCGTTACGGAGAATGTAAACACAAGATTGTCAGCCATTGACAGCTGGGAGGTGTGAGTAACCGTGATGTAGGTCAAGTTCTGCCATATCCAAGATCGGGACGGAGAGGCATTTATTTTGATTTTATCATTGTTTACTGGGGGTAATTGCTAACTAACTAATAACACTTACACATGTTATATATATAATAGAATGTTAATTCATAAAGTTTGTTGTAGAAATATATTCGTTTAGCATTTTAAAACTTTTTTTTCTATAACCCGTCACTCCTACAATAGAAATGATGGCATGTTCTATTTCCAAGAAATGACCTCTCTCGCAAAACTCCGAGAAATGACAGTCAGTCCACAGTGTACAACAGTGTACAACAGTTTGGTAGAAATTAAAACATCTCTCTTTGGACCAAGTTTGGAGTGTTATTTGTCAACTTATTTTGAAAACCTATGTGTTTTGAACACTTATTATGAACTACTAACGACTATGGTGTT